CCAGCCTGACACAGGCGTCCTTAGAGGGGTGCTCAGCTCCACAGCCCCCCCAACCTGACACAGGCGTCCTGATGAGAGGGCTGCTCAGCTCCACAGCCCCCCCCAGCCTGATGCAGGCATCCTGACTTGAGGCGTCCCTGATCTTGTTCCAGCAGTGCCTGGGGCAGCCTGACCCCTTCCACCACAGGGCCCAGGGTTTCCAGGGCAGGCTCTGTGCGGTGGGGCTCTCACTTCAATGCCGTTTTAGAATCCATATGAGTGAAGAGGGCCGGGATTCCTTGCTGCCATGCTTTCTGGAGCCATGGGGACCTTGGAAGGTGGCCGGTCATTGTCACTCCCCGTGGCACCTCTGGCCTCTGAGAAAAGGGCTTCTGCTCCTGGGGGCTGCCCTTGACACCCCCTTCCTAGGGCCTCTGGGCTCCTCCTGCCCAACCCTCTCCCACAGCCACCTCCTGTCCGGCTGACAAGGGTGGTGGCTTTTCCCCAAGGCCCCATGAGGAGGGCAAGAAGTCAGGCCTGGCAGGCAGCAGGTCAGGGGCAGTGTCTGTCCCAAACGAGGGCTGGGGGCCTTGACCTGGCCTGGGGTGGAGGTCGGGGCTTCCCACTGCCAGGTAGGGGGCATCCACCTGCCTGTGCCTCAGTTTCTTCAGCTGTAAGTGAGGTGGGTGACAAACGCTGCCCCAGGTGTGAGCACAGCGAAGGCTGGGCGATGCCTGATGCCACAGCCCCCGGGCTCGCCTGAAGGTCGTGCCGCCACTCCGGGAGAGGAGCCTCACCCTGCTCTACGGCGGGTCCTGGTCCATGCAGATGGAGCTGCATGCCAACAGGGCAGTGGCAACCAGCTAGAAGCAGTCCCCACCATGAAATTCTTGAGCTTTGTGGGTCAGGGCACAGGGCCCCAGCAGGCTCCTGTCTCCAGCCGCTCGCCCAGCCCGTGGCACCTGTGCCACCTGCCCCTGAACCCTCCAATGTGAGACAGGACCTGAGGTCAGGACTTGACCGGCAGCCAGGGGTTTATCTGCAGCTCTGCTTTCCACGTGGCGTCATCACAGACGCAGGGGCCTGGGAGTGCCAGGGTGACGCCACTGAGGTGCAGCTCCTTGGGACTAACAAGGCCCATCCTTGCCAGTCAGGACCCACAGTCCGAGACGTTTACAGCTGAGGAAGCGCTTAGGTACCCGTGGGGAAACTCCTGCAACAGCGGACAGTCCTGGTGTCCCCACGGCCACAGCCGCGTGTGCCTTCCAGATCCCCACACTTAGGCTTCCACACGCTCGCACACTAAAACGTCCGGGACAGCGTTCTTTCAATCCACAGAATAATACATTCTTTTTTCTTTTTTTCTTTGAGACAGAGTCTCACTCTGTCACCCAGGCGGGAGTACAGTTGTGTGATCTCAGCTCACTGCAACCTCTGCCTCCCGGGTTCGAGTGATTCTCCTGCCTCAGCCTCCCGAGTAGCTGGGATCGCAGGCGCCCGCCACCATACCCGGCTAATTTTTGTATTTTTAGTACAGACGGGTTTCACCATGTTGGCCAGGCTGGTCATGAACTCCCGACCTCATGATTCAGCTGCCTCGGCCTCCCAGACTGCTGGAATTACAGGCATGAGCCACTTCGCCCGGCCCAGAGTAATAAATTCTGTCACTGTCGGCCCCCCCCAGGTAGCATGGCTTAGTGTTGACGCAGCCAAGACCCTGATATGAGAAAAACGGAACACAGTCGGGCACGCCTGCACCGGCCTTCCGAGGGTCCCGCCTCTCTCACTGAGCACCTTTCCGTGATGTCCCCTCACACTGCACTCGGCCTTGAATTCTTTCCTGTGCCAGACCCAAGAACCTTCTGGTGGGGTCTGAATGGAGACTGAATTTCTGGCAACAGAATGAAATTCTGAAAGAGCCAAAACCCCTCTTCCTGCCTCGCCACATGCAACACACAGCCTTAGGTGTGGTGCACAGAGGCAGCCTGGCGGGCAGGGGCCACGTGCTCCTGACCCTGAACACGTGAGCAGCGTCCCTCGGCGGCCGCTCTGCGTGCAGGGCAGCCCTAAATGGCTGCTTCCTGTGGCTCTTCTCGGAGGCCTGGCCTGCTTCCCCTTTGACGGACTTGGGACAGGCTGAGGTGGCGGCCACCAGAGCTGCCCTCCACCCTCTGAGGACAGATAGCCCAGGCTTACCTCTGCCAGCCGGTCAGGATGATGCCCTGCAGTGCGTCGGTTGGTCCGCTGCCCGCCACCTGCAGCCACTGTGCGTGGTTCCTGAGGTGGTGCTCCACGGGGGGCAGGGCCTGGCTGGGCCCTGTGGCACCCTTGAAGGCACTGGCTGCCCACAGCCGCAGAAAGCCGCACCGCTGGTACTTCTGCATGAGGAGGACTGGGTGAGAAAAGAAGCGGGTGAGTGGCTTCCAGGGAGGTGGCCAACACGCACCAGATGTGGCTCTCGCGGCCATGCCCAGACCCGACATGGGAGCCGCCTGTGACAGCCAGGCCAGGTTCCCAGCTGGGGAGACTCCAGCACATATGTGGCCCCTGGTTCACCTGCTTGCTAGGAAAATACTGGTGGATCAGGAGGTGGGCACCGGTGCAGGGTGCCGTCCCGGGGCACTGTGGGCTGGGTCTGTTGGGGCTGTCCCTGGCCTCTATCCATGCATGCTGGTCAGGCTCCAGGCTGCGCAGTTGGGGTTGCAGGGTCACGGGGTCAGGGGCAGCCTTCCCAGACATGTGGCCACGACAACACCCCACCCCTGCAACTTGGCACTGACCCTTGCCATGCACATCCAGGTCGGCCGTGTAGTCCCAGAGCACCGGCTCCACCAGCTGCGGCACCCCAGACGCTGCGGACAGTGGACATGGAGTTGGCGAGACGCCTGGATCACACCCCCAGCCCCTCAGACCCACTTGTTCTTGTTTTGTGTGAAAGTGTGAGCCAGACGCCTTTTAAAGAAAGGCTTGGCACCAAGCTGGGTTTTGACGATGAACACCACAACCTCACACGGTGCTTTTCAGAGCTGGTGCCCACTGGAACGACCGCACTCCCGCTGCTGCTCCACCAGGCCAGGAGCTGCAGGCACAGCGGGAGCACACAGCTGAATGGAGACTGCTCTAAGTCATCTATGTGGCATGCATGGGTGGCAGCTGCCAGGCCAGCATGGCCCTAGGACACCCTGGCCCCCAGCTCTGCCGTGGGGCTCTCTGAACCTCGGGGCTTTGTGCGGAACCGGGCCGGGTATCTGAGCACCACCTCTTGGCCCAGGAAGGTGCTCAGGAGCTCACCCCAAAGCCTCGGGCACAGTGAGCAGGGCCCAGGGGCTGGAAGAGTGGCCAGCGGGAGCCTTGGCCCCCAGTCCCAGCAGGCTGGCCTTGGAGGAGGGGCCACGAGTGCCAGACACTCCCGAGCCCTCTGGACCACCGGGCAGGCCTGTGCTCTCCTGCCGAAGCCTCCATGGCTTCTAGGGAAATGACTCAGACATGGTGTTTTCACGAGGGGATGCAGGCGTGGTTGTGGCAGGTCTGTGCGGGACTGGGGCTCACTCTGGGGCCCACTTCCTACAGCGCCTTCATTCTCTGAAGCCACGGGTCTTGGGCAGGTCCGTGGCCCATCCCCTCCCCTGGCCCCATTGGCCAACCTGCGAGCTGGTCCTCAGGCAGCTCCCGTAGCATGTCATCCCACACCAGGGGCGTCACGCCAGGGCGCCGGGCCCGCACGTGGCTGGCCACCGCCCGCATGTGTGACAGGCACAGCTTCCCTGTGCTGTTCTGCTCCTGCTGCAGCCACCGGCGTGAGGCCTCCCCCTCTCCGAGGTAATAGACCTGCAAGGACGGAGTGGGACGGCCTCAGCTGCCGTGCACACCACCGGAGGGTCCAGGGTCCACGCCGTGCCCTGACGGGGTGGCCGATGCCCATGGGGAGGATGCCAGGGAGGGGCTTGGAGGGCTCAGAGCCTTTACTCGCCACCCGCAGCGTGTTCCTGTCTTCCTCACTGGGCCCTGAACTTCACTCAAGGTCTCCTGTGAATGTTCACAGCAGCTCTAATCACAGCTGCAAAGCGGAGACCACGGGGGTCCATCCCCCATGACGGGCCAGCACAGGACAGCACCCCTCACCATGAACATGGCTCAGCCTCAACAGAGCACCAAGCTCCGGCGGCTGACAGCCGGAGGAACACAGGCCATGCACTGTGTGAGTCGGTGCCCGCGGAATGCCCAGGACGGGCAGATCGGCCAAGACGGGAGGCCAACCGTGGTCACCGGGGCTGGGGGCGGATGAGGGGCTTCTGCCTGGATGATCACGCACACCATGAACGTTTGGAAGAGATGCTGACGTTTATACTTACTTATTTTGGAGACAGGGCCTTGCTCTGTTGTCCAGGCTGGAGTGCAGTGGCACAATCTCGGCTCACTGCAACCTCCACCTCCAGGTTCAAGCAATTCTCCTGCCTCAGCTTCCTGAGTAGCTGGGATTACAGGTGCCTACCATCACGCCCAGCTAGTTTTTGTATTTTTAGTAGGGACGGCGTTTCACTACGTTGGCCAGGCTGGTCTCGAACTCCTGACCTCAGGTGATCCACCCACCTCGGGCTCCCAAAGTGCTGGGATTACAGGCATGAGCCACCGCACCCAGCCTATATTTTTAAATGGTTAGAACGATAAAGTTTCTGTATATTTTATGCATTCAGATTTCCTTCAAAAAAAGGAAGCTTCTGGGGCTAAAAGGTTTAGGTTAGATTCCTGTGAGCCACAGCCCTGCAGAACCTCCCAGCTCCGTTGGCACTAACCCTGCCCTGTCAGTTCCGCGTCCTGCCCAGGTCCTGACTGAGCTGGAGTCCAGTAAGTGGAGGGAAGTGGGAGGGTGGGGGCTCATTGCCTGGAGGGGGCACGGCTCCAGCACCCACTGGGGACCACCTTTTCCAATGAGTGCCTCAGGGTCCAAATGCAGAACCAACTTCCTCTCAGCAACGAAAGCATGTCTCTCAAGTTGCACCCTGACTCGCGCTGACTGCCAATACCGGGGCGTGAACCTGCCCGTCACTTGCAGGCCTTTGCCAGCCCCGCCACCCAGGGTGTTCTCGTCTGACACAAGGGTGCCGCTGTTGGGCTCTGCAGGCCGCCTGTCCACCCGGAGAAGATACTGGACGGGGCTCCCTGAGGGGAACAAGCCTGTCTCTAGGCCTCAGTGCCTGGAAGATTTTCCTATTTAAAAGAACAAGCCATGACAGTGAGCGTGGCCTGCACAGAGCTGGGGCAGTGGCACCCACCTCATCACACCCGACGTGCAGCCGCTGGGCGCCTGGGTGCAGCTCCAGGACCTGGTCGATCATGGCGCCCACTAGTGCCAGGGACTCCGCCTCGTGGGGGTTCAGGGTGCAGGGGAGGGGACCCACCTCCCGTAAGTGGGCGAAGGCCGCGTGCTTCAGCACAAACTGCAGAGACACAGAGGCGCTCGTGTTGGGGGCGGAGGAGCTGGGCTGAGCTCCTCCTGCCCACCTGGGGCTCCTGTTTCTAATCTATGGACAATAAAAAAAATTAGGCCAGGCTCAGAGGCTCACTCCTGTAATCCCAGCACCTTGGGAGGCTGAGGTGGGTGGAATGCTTGAACTCAGGAGTTTGAGACCAGACTGGGCAACACGGTGAAACCCCATGGAGTCCTGTTCTGTTGCCCAGGCTGGAGTGCAGTGGCATGATCTCAGCTCACTGCAACTTCTGCCTCCTGGGCTCAAGTGATCCTCCCACCTCAGCCTCCCAAGGAGCTGGGATTACAGGGATGTGCCACCATGCGTGGCTAATGTTAGTTTTTTTAGTAGAGATGGGGTTTTGCCATGTTGGCCAGGCTGGTCTCGAACTCCTGACCTCAAGTGATCCACCCGCCTTGGCCTCCCAAAGTGTTTGGATTACAGATGTGAGCCACTGTGCCCGGCCTAAATAAATTCTTTTAAAACAAAATCAGTTTAAGGAAAACAAAAGTGTCCGGGTGTGGTGGCACCCGTCTGTGGTCCCAGCTTCTTGGGAGGCTGAGGCAGGAAGATCACTGGAGCTAGGAAGTTGAGGCTGCAGTGAGCTGAGACCGCACCACCGCACTCCAGCCTGCGCGACTGAGCGAGACCCTGTCTCTGAAAAGGAAAAAAAGAGAGTGTTTATGTGTGAAAGACCACTGTAACTCTGGGTGAGAACAGAGACCTATGGCCTTGGCCTAGGGTTACTCACTGCCCCCTTCCCCCTCACAGTGGAAAACACAGCTTTGCTGCCAGAGGGGCAGACTTGACTTGAGGCTGGGTAAAAACCCACCCCTTTTGGGGGCACTGTCAGTAAAAGTATCGACTGCAGAAAATGCCATCTCCTACTTGCCAGAGGGCACAGTCCCTGCTGGGAAGAGCCAAGACTGGCTGGAGATTGAATGGAAACAAAGGCAGACGGTGCCACACGCTCTCCTCAGGCCTGGCTGATGGGGCCACACACATACGGGGACCCGAGAGGGCCAGGGGGGAACTTCAAGAACCTGGGGTGTACCCCACCCCACCGCCCACACATAGCCCCGTGGCAAGGGGAGGAGGCTGTGGGCTCAAAGAGTGTGAGCACAACCTCTGCCCAAACGCTCGGCCGACCACCACCAACGAACACGGAAGGGCGACCCTAGGAAGCCAGGCTAAAACACAAAAGTAAGAACAACATCTCAGCACAGCTAGCAGTGAGCATACAGCCGGGGCAGGTCCTGCAGGTTAAATGCAGGCCACTTGCTAGAAAACAACAAAACCACCACCAGCACCCACTGGGGAAAACAGCAAACATTCAGCTTGGCTATAATGAAGTAACTGAAATGTTCAGCTCTCAACCAAATATTCTGAGATGTGCAAATAAACTCGAACGTGGAATCCAGTTAACAGACTGACTCTCATGGGCCCACATGTAGAATTTACCAAATATTTCAAGAAAACTAAAGAATATGTTCTAAGAATGAAAGGAAGCTGGGCATGGTGGCTCACGCCTGTAATCTCAGCAGTTTGGGAGGCTGAGGCAGGTGGATCACTTGAGGTCAGGAGTTTGAGACCAGCCTGGCCAGCATGGCGAAACTCCACTTCTACTGAAAATACAAAAATTAGCCGGATATGGTGGCGGGTGCCAGTAATCCCAGCTACTCGGGAGGCTGAGGCAGGGGAACTGCTTGAACTCAGAAGGCAGAGGTTGCGGTGAGCCCAGATTGAACCACTACACTCCAGCCTGGGCGACGGAGCAAGACTGTCTCAAAAACAAACAAACAAACAAAACTTAGCACTTAGGGAGGCAAAGGTGGGAGATTCACTTGAGCACAGAAGTTTGAGATCAGCCCAGCAACACGGTGAGACCCCCCATTCTCCACAAAAAGGAAAATCAACAACAACAAAAACCAACTCAAAATGGGGCCAGGCGCAATGGCTCATGCCTGTAATTCTTTTTTTTTTTTTGAGACGGAGTTTCGCGGTTGTTAGTGCAATGGCGTGATCTTGGCTCACGGCAACCTCCGCCTCCTGGGTTCAGGCAATTCTCCTGCCTCAGCCTCCTGAGTAGCTGGGATTACAGGCACGCGCCACCATGCCCAGCTAATTTTTGCATTTTTAGTAGAGACGGGGTTTCACCTTGTTGACCAGGATGGTCTTGATCCCTTGACCTCGTGATCCGCCCGCCTCGGCCTCCCACAGTGCTGGGATTACAGGCTTGAGCCACCGTGCCCAGCCTCATGCCTGTAATTCTAGCACTCCAAGAAGCTGAGGGAGGAGGACTGTTTGAGGCCAGGAGTTCAAGACCAGCCTGGGCAACAAGTGAGACCTGGTCTCCACAAGTTATTAAAAAAATTAGCCAGGTGCGGTGGTGCCCACCTGTGGTCCCAGCTACTCAGGAGGCTTGAGCCCGACTTCAAGGCTGCAGCGAGCTCCGGGTGTACACTGCACTCCGGCCTGGGTGACAGAGGGAGACTGTGTCTCAAGACGGAAAACGTGGATGTCCAAGGGTTTTGGAGAAAGAATTAAACTCAAAATGGATCACAGATCTAAATGAAAAATGCACACAAGTAAAACTTTAGGAGAAAATACAGGAACAACCTTTGTGAGCCGGTGATTGCAAAGAGGTTTTAGAAATGACACCAGAAGCATATAAGCTACACACTGGGAGAAATTACCTGCAAATTATGTAACATCAGAGGACTTGTATCTAGAATATATAAAGAACTTTAAAAACTCAAGTTGAAAAAAAAAAGGGGAAAACACCTGAGCAGTCATTTCCAGTATACCAAGAAGGTACAGCAGCCCAGGCGCCATGGCTCACACCTGTAATCCCAGTACCTTGAGAGACTGCAGCAGGCAGATCACCTGAGGCCAGGAGTTTGAGACCAGCTTGACCAACATCTCAAAACCCCACCTCTACTAAAAAGACAAAAAATTAACTGGGCATGGTGGGGTGCACCTGTAGTCCCAGCTACTCGGGAGGCAAAGGCAGGAGAATCCCTTGAACTCAGGAGGCAGAGGTTGTGGTGAGCTGAGATCACACCACTGCACTCCTGTCTGGGCAACAGAACGAGACCCTGTCTCAAAAACAAAGAAAAAAGGTATACTAATGGTAAATCTACACATGGAAGGTCTTCCTCTGTAAGAAACCACCCCTCCAGCATGCTGATTTGGATGTCTGGTCTCCAGAACCGAGAGAACATTTCTGTTGCCTTAAGCCACCTGGTTTGTGGTGATCATTTCTGCCCTGACAACAGTGTCTTTTAAGGAGATGGCATGTGTGCACGGTCAGAGCTGTGCTGTGACTTGCTGTGGTGGGGAGAGGGGCCGGGAGACAGGGAGGCCCTGGAGACTCGTTTGGGGAGTTTCACAGTGAGGCGGTGGGGTTTAGACGGGGTGCCGCCTGCACAACAGAGGAGGAGGAGGAGGAGCAGCAGCAGGACGGACACGGGTGGGGGTGCGGGCGGGTGGGGGTGCTGACCGTGGCTGGTCTGCTTCTGGCTTGCACACCAGAGGCTGGAGGAGGTACCTCAATAGAAGTGACCAGCAGGCAGCTGGGGATGGGGATCTGTAACCCAGGAGGTCTGGAGTTGCTGAGGTGCAGACAGGAAGAGAAAGGGGAAGCAGGAGCAGAAATGGCACCGTCTAGAGAGGGAGGCAGGTGGGGCGAGGGGTCAAGAGGAGCCCGGGGGACTGCCAGCTACAGGGAGGCAAATGAAAATGGATACCAAGGCGGTGCAGTCAGAGGCAGGGGAAACCAGAGTGCGCGGCTCAGGAGAGTGCTGGTGATGCCAGACGCTGCCGAGGGCGTCCAGCCGGAGAGCACCAAAACCATCTCTGGACTTAGTGACCTGGAGGACACCTGAGGCCTTGGGAGAGACGTTTAGTGGAGAGGCGGCAGGAGGCCAAGAGTGCACGCCAGGTCCCAGAGCAAAGCGCGGTGTGGAGAATTACTAGAAAGGCCAGGAGGACGGTGCTGTGGGAAGGAACTCCGGGGGTGCACGGCTGTGAGTGAAAACAGCCTTCTTTCCCACGGTGTGTGGAAATAGAAGCCAGAATGGAGTATCTGTTAGAGAAATAAACGGAATCTAACAGCCATTAAATCAATGTGGTGTTAATGTTGCATCACTTCCTATTTGTTTGATGCAGATATGAAATAAATATATATATATGTCTCTTTTTTTAGATGGAGTCTGGCTCTGTGGCCCAGGCTGGAGTGCAGTGGCACGATCTTGGCTCACGTACCCTCCACGTCCCGGGTTCAAGCGATTCTCCTGCCTCAGCCTCCTGAGTAGCTGGGACTACAGGTGCCCACCACCACACCCGGGTAATTTTTGTATTTTTAATAGAGATGGGGTTTCACCATGTTGGCCAGGCTGGTCTCAAACTCCTGACCTCAGGTGATCCATCCACCTCAGCCTCCCAAAGTGCTGGAATTAGGGGCCTGAGCCCCTGCGCCCGGCCTGAAAAGCAGCTTTTCTTTCCTTAATACTGTGTTTTACCTCACATAATAATATTCTGGTGAATACAGATTGAAAAGGAAACCGCCCCCCAGCCTCCAGGACCCTCTGTCTGGCTCTTCCCTTCCATTCCACAGGCAGAGAAGCTCTGACCGAGTCAGGCAGGGAGGGGCTTCCTAGAGCAAAGGCCTCCGCCGTGTCGTGCTGCGCTGCACTGCCTGCACCCCAACCACGGGCCCTGCTGCGCCTTCTGCTGGGCACAAGCCTGGCCCAGCCTGCAGTCCCGGGACCCCACATCTGCCACCAGGTAACTTCCGTTCTGGCCACTCACCTCCATGTGCCCAAAAGTCTGTACCAGTGGAATCACTTCCAGCTCGCTGAGTCCAGCCAGATGCAGGATCTCCTTGATTTCCGCGGGGCTGGAGGGACAAAGTTCATGCAGGGGGAGGGTCGTGTGGGCTGTGCACGACGTCCACACTCCCCTAGCCTTCCTCGTCAGGCCCTGGGGGGCTCTCCGGGAAACGGTGAAGCCCTAACTCCACAAAGCCTGATAGATATCCTGGTTTCTGGAATGGCACCTGCCCTAAAACTTGGGAAGATGATGTTCTAGCACATCTTCAAGTAACAGTTTGCTTTTTTTTTTTTGAGACAGAGTCTCACTCTGTTGCCAGGGTGGACTGCAGTGGTGCGATCTCGGCTCACTGCAACCTCCGCCTTCTGGGTTCAAGTGATCCTCCTGCCTCAGCCTCCCAAGTAGCTGGGACTACAGGCCCGTGCCACTACACCCAGCTAATTTTTGTGTTTTTAATAGAGACAGGGTTTCACCATGTTAGCCAGGATAGTCTCGATCTCTTGACCTCATGATCTGCCTGCCTTGGCTGCCCAAAGTGCTAGGATTACAGGCGTGAGCCACCGTGCCTGGCCCAGTTTGCTTTTCAACCCTCGACCAGAGAATGAAGTCGTGGCATTTTACAAGAAACTACACAAGGCCGGCACAGTGG